GATGGGGACCCACCTAAGGCTGTTTGCAGACAAGTGAGGCTGCCACGTGCCCTCGGGTCCCTGAAGTGCTGGTGGTCATTCATTCATTCCACACACACTCCCTGGACCCCACCGGAACCACGTTCCAAGCTGAGCCATTTTGGGCCCCGTCTGTGAGGACCTCTGGCCAAGGGCAGACCATGACGGAGCAGCATAGGATGTGCAGGGCAGGGGCTGTGGGCCTGACCTGGGCGTCAGGGAGGGCTTCCAGGAGGAGGTGGTGCTGCACTGCATCTGCATATCAAACAGGTTTTCACTGATGGTCTTTGTTGTCAACCTTCTCTCATCCCACGGCTTTCATCCTTGGGAGCGGGCATTTTCCGGGCATGGGTTTGCACTTCAGGAGGCCGCCCGAAGTTGTCTGTGGCGAGTGTGTGGCTTAGAACCTGCCCTGTCATCCTCCCAGAGCACGTGGGCTGGGGCCCGGTGGAGTGGGAGGGCGTGGGGACTCTAGCAGCCCTGTCCGGTGACGCTCCCACCCTGCCCCCCGACAACTCCGCTCCTGGAGAGGGTCTCGGCCCCGAGCCGCCCCCAAGCTGGCCCTGCCCCAGAGCGTGTCTGTTTGTCCATCCACCTGCAGGTGTTTGAGGAAGAGCATCACATCTTGTACCTGGACCACGGTGGCGTCATCGTGGCGGTAAAGGACACCTCCATCCCGCTGAAGGTCCTCAAGTGAGTGTACAGGTGCCTGGCTCTGGTGCCTCCTGGGATGTGCCTCCTGGCAGCCTCCCCAGGGCAGCAGCACTAGACCCTGCGGGGGGAGGTGTGGCGGGGGGAGGCCCCTGGCCTGGGCCAGTCAGGGAGGGCTTCCTGGAGGAGGCAGCTTTTAGGCATCAACAGGCATGAGTCACGTGGAGGAGGGTGACTGGGGTGGGGACCAGATCCGAGAGAGCAGAAGGCCTGGACCAATGCGCTGCCACCTCCCCATCCTCTGCAGGGCTGTTTAGGGAGCAGACGGCAGGTGTGACGCCAGGCCTCCAGGCAGAGCCCACGGGGTCTGGAAACCCGCCCGGGGCTGGGCCGCAGGGAGCTGCCTGTCACCGGCCTGGCCCGTGGGCAGGGCTCGGGCACTGGGGCTGAACTGGACACTTGGGAGGCCTGGCAGCCCTGCGATTCCAGGCTCAGTGAACTCACGGGACTTGGCAACACGCCTGGGCTCCGTAGCTGGCATTGCTGAGCAGGGGCCCAGGCTGGCAGGTGACAGGACACGGTGTGGCCCACGTGTGGCCCCGCCTCTGGCCCATTCTCCTGGCTGCTGCAGCAGCTGGTGGGGGTGGCTCTAGCTCGGGCAGGCGGGTCCCGCCGGTGGGTGGGGGCCTGGAAGTGGGAGTGTCCTCTGCCCGCTCGCCACCTGATGCCCTCCCTCCCAGGTTCAGTGTGGACGAGGGTCTCACGTGGAGCACCCACAACTTCACCAGCACCTCGGTGTTCGTGGACGGGCTGCTGAGTGAGCCAGGCGACGAGACGCTGGTTATGACGTGAGTGCGGCTGGGTGTGAGGGGGAGGCTGCCCTAGGCAGGGGGCACGGCGGACAGCCTCTCCAGCTCAGACCTGGCCTTCCACGCTGTCCTCTTCAGCCTCACCTTCGTCTTTGTCCCGGCCTCCACCACCCAGGGCCAGATGAGCCTCCCGATGGCCACTGTGCTCTGCTCCCCACCCCCGCCACCGGAAGGCAGCCACTGTGGCCTGTCCCGAAACATTGTCACCTGCCAGGGTCAGCTGGCTGTGAGGGTGGAGCCAAGATGCACCCCTGGTCTGAGGGCAAGGGCTGTCCTGTGACGGTGGGGATGAGGGTGGTGATGAGGATGGTGGGGGTGGCGTGCTGATGGCCGTGAGGTGAGGGTGGTGATGAGGACGGTGGGGGTGGCGTGCTGATGGCCGTGGGATGGGGTGCTGAGCTGGTGCACAGACTCCTGGCCGCCTTTCACCGAGGACCAGAGAAGAGACACAGCATGTGGGGCAGAGGGCACACGACCCAGCCTGGGGTCAGCCCTGCCTGCTTCTCCTCCCTCAGAACAAGGCCCCTCGCAGGCCACATGCTGCACTCGGCACAGCGGGCTGGTGGGGCATCGGCACCCCTGTTCAGAGCCCTCCCTGAGGGCACGGGGAGTCCAGCTGTCCAGGTTGCCCTGACCCTCCTGGGGTGGACAGCCTGCTTTCCTCTGGCTCCGCCCACCCCGGAGGTGTGGCTGGAAGCGCAGCCCCTCAGCCCAGCCTGCCGGACCCTGTGGCGACGTGACTCCCTGCCGTGAGGGCTGCTGCTGTGGGGACACCTGCGTACCCTCATTCTCCGCTGTCTGCCCTTCATGCCCTCGACCGCCTTCATGTGTGACTTCACTGGCTGTCCATCCACCAGCCTGAGGAGGGCTGGACCACCCCAGTCCAAGCCCCCAGGCAGCCAGGCCCAGCCAGACAAACCCCCAAGGGGGCCTGACCCCAGCACAGGGTTTGGGTTTACTCGCTCTGTGGACTTATTAACAGCCTGCAATGTGCAGACGACACAATCTCGCTGCCAAAGGTGAAGAAGATTGGAAGCGCTTACTGAGGAAGACTGAAGACCGCAGTCTGCAGTATGGATAACACCTCAACGTGAAGAAACGAAAATCCTCACAACTGGACCAAGAAGTAACAGTGAGAGGTGGATAAAAGGTTGATGTTGTTGGGGATTTCATTTTACTTGAATCCAAAATCACCACCAATGGAAGCAGCAGTCAGGACATCAGACAACATATTGCACTTAGCAAATCTGCTGCAAAAGATCTCTTTCAAGTGCTGAAGAGCAAAGATGTCTCCTTGAAGAGTAAGGTGCACCTGACCCAAGCCATGGCATTTTCAAGTTGCCTCATATGTATGTGAGAGCTGGACGATGAATAAGGAAGACTGAAGAAGAGTCGATGCTTTTGAGTTGTGATGCTGATGAAGAATGCTGAGAGTCCCATGGGCTGCCGGAAGAATGAACAGGTCTGTTCTGGAGGAAGTGCAGCCGGAATGCTCCTTGGAAGCGAGAATGGCCAGACTTTGTCTCACCGACTTTGGTCATGTTGTCAGAAGGGACCATTCCCTGGAGAAGGAGGTCATGCTTGGTAAAGTGGAGGGTCGACGAAAGAGGGGAAGGCCCTCAACAAGATGGGTTGACACGGTGGCTGCGACAATGGGCTCAGGTGTAGCAGGGACTGTGGGGCTGGCACAGACTTGGCAGTGTTTCGTTCTGCTGGGCACGGGGTCGCCGTGGGTCGGAGCCGACTCGACGGCACCTGACAACAACAATAGAAATTCCCGCACCCTGGCAAGGGCTCAGGACGGGGCCTAGGCTGCTAGGCACTGGCTCTGGAAGGTAGTCACCTAGCACCGCAGGCCTTCATCCTGGGCAGTTGGGCCCTGCTTGCGGAAGGAAGAAAGGGCAGTCTGCTTCCATAAGGATGTCCTGTCTCAGAAACCCAGCAGGGGCTTGCTGTGAGTCGGGACTGACTCTGTGGCCGTGAGGTTTTTGGGGGTTCTCCTTCCTCTGATTCTCCTTTCCTCCCTCTCTAGCTTCTCTGTCTCTGTCCGTGTGTCTCTGTCAGTGTGTCTGTCTGTGCACCCCTCTCTCAGTGCCTCTGTCTCTCCCTCTGTGTGTCTGTCCCTCTCTGTGTCTCCCTCTGTCTGTCTGTCTCCCTCCCTCCCTCTCTCTGTCCCCCCATCAATGTGTCTCTTGTGTCCCTTCGTCTCTCTTTCTGTTCCTTTCTTTCTGTCTCCCTCCCTCTCC